GACAGACAGACAGACAGACAGAGACGACGCTCGTTGCGAACCTATATAGTACGGATGCGTATCTTCACACTTTCTTGGAGAAAAGAGGGATGGGAGTACTCCCTCTCACGTGCGCGTCAGTAGAATAAGCAGAGACGGAACTGCGAGTGAGCCTTCCTCTTTGGCTCGCGTCTGTTTGTTACTCTTCTAAAAAGAAGCTTAGCAACAAGGAGAGCGCAGGGGTAGGCTCAGCAACTCGCACAGGACAGAAAGCGTTTTATCTGCTCTGAAGTGGACCAGATCGACGAGTTACATGTACTCGGGCATCTACGGTTCTATATGGAACGGCATCCCTGTGAACTTGACTACTGACCAATTTTACATCAGACATAAGCTTAAGGGCTCAGACGATTACATCAGAAAGCTGTACTTTGTAAGACCTACCGGTACTGCACAAGCTTTTTCACCCGGTCTCGCACCTTCCTCCTGAAGAAAAAAAATTTCGTTCAGCAGGGAATTCACAAGCAATCCAAAACTGCTATTGTAAAGTTGACGAGACATCTGAAAGCCACTAGACTTCATTTACATCACATTACGAAGCGCGGACGCCTCTTTGGGACTAGAGATGTGATCTGCAAGCGCAGATGTCTTTGTTGAAGCTTGAAAATAGGTGGTAAGGGCGCTAGTTGCCTGCGACGGAGGCGGTGCGCCGCCCACGGCTCCAGCCGACGCCCGCAATCTTGATTAAGGGCTGTCCGAAGGTGTGCTAGTTTCGCCATTAGCTTTCTACATTCCGAATGATGGGGATGGAAGCTGAAAAGAGGGAGGATTCACCATCATTGCTACAACAACCTTAGAGATCGTCAGACATGCCTCGTCTTCGTTTCTACGCTCGCGCGAGCTCGGATCATCAGGGAGTCTTATTTGGAACATTTTGGACGGTCTTTCTGCTTCTTTTACCATCACAAGCATCGTACCACCTCATGTTTCGTATTGAGCCCCAACTCTTGTCACTTGGGATAGCGAAACGTGCCTTCTACTGGATTTAAAGGCACATTCCGCGAAAAAAGGCTATGACCTCTCAGATGTGTGCTCGGACCGACCCGGAAGGGCGATTTTTGAGGCATGCGCTACTTATTCCAAACATCATGAAAAACGGCAGACTCGCTACGAAGCTGGTTAATTGTAGGCCCATGGACACCCCTTAGGCCCATGCCGACCCTCACCGGCTGCTAGCTACTAGCTAGTAGCCACTATGTTATCTATCTATAATATTTCGGACTGCTTTTACTGCTGCTTTTCTCCGCTAATCAGATACCTTAGCACTTTTTTGTGCCTATTTGAGTTCCGTTTCCCGCAATTTGCGGTCGCGAACTGTGCCTTTAACTGTTGCAATGCGTTATTGTGAAAAACGCTGCTTTCACACGTGCTAAGGAAGTGAAGCGCGAGCACAACACGGCAGCAGATCTACTCTTGCCAGCCTCTAACCTATTAGCAAACACCGTAGGAAACCGCTCTCTCTCTTTCTCTCTCGCACCGCACGACAGTTAGATGCCGTAAAAAATGTGAAGTTGGGGGGGAAAAATTTCTTGTCGCCGGCTAACCCTTTCTTTCCTTCCACCTAACTGCCTCAGCTTCAGACAACTCAGCAAAGATCTTGAACTTTTGATATCAGATGATCTGCCACAAATTTGGACTATCAGCGATTCTTTCACAGGCGAAGAACCGATTTTTTAGAAAACTGTGAATAAGAGTTACGCACAATGCAGCATTTCTTGCACTTTGGCGCGTTGTTGACCTCATAGAATGGTGTACCAGCCGGAATGTCCTTGTTACACTTTTTGCAAGGCACCTGAAAAACTTGAGTTTCAGAAAATTTTTGAAAGGATAAGGCTACTGGATCCAATTATGCGACAGGAGCACAGCATCTAGCAGGACAAGTACTTTTTCCATGCCCATTCAAAGGTAGATTCCTGGTTGATCGCATGGGCGGAGCCATGCCCACATAGAGCCCCCTTTGACGCGCCACTCTTTCTGAGACCGTAAAGGGGAGAGATGAGCTGAAGAAGGGTGGGCCCGACTTTGTACACGTGTTAAATGTTCACTTATGGTTGGCTCAGACTATAGCCTTCCGTGGATCACTAGAACAAAACCGTTACCTTACCTAGACTAATTCAATCCGCTCCATACTTAAATCCGAGCCACCCCCCCCCTAAACCCAATGTGATCACATCTATTTTCTCGGAAACGCGTTCATGCTTCGCTATTGATGCGATTCAACCGCGCGACTACGATCGACCGCGCATTGCCGCCGATCATTGGGCCATAGTGAAGACCTGCAGAAGTCGCATTTCAAAGTGTTTAAATTGGCTTTTACAGCAGCCCAACGACTAGCGATGGAGCACAGTCTGTGAAAGTCGCTTGATGTTCAAGTCGCGCGAGTGAATCGCGAAGTATGAACGCGGCCTGGCAAGTACAAACTACTGGTGTAATGACACTTGTTGATGTAGCTGGACCTTTCAACCATATGCAGGGAATCTTTGAAATAACTTTTGCTCTCAACTGGATTGCGTAAAAATCGGTATTTTGAGACGATATACGATAAGGCGAAAGCAAACACTGAAGTGACACGTGGTTTGGTTGCCTGGAAGATGAAATTCATGCTCACCGGTTTCGACGCGGTCTTCGCGTAAGGTTTTTCTGCCTAAAAACAAAAGCTCATTGATGCGAGGACTAAAAGTTTCTCAGATTCATTCCCATTAATCTTGGGAGTTTCAGCTGATGTTGTCACCAGCTGAATTTCGTATTGAACCCATACAATAAAATCAAAGATTCCTGCAAAATTAACGTACATCGCTGCATTCTTCACATTTTGGTGCGTGATCGAGCTCGTAGAACGGCGTTCCAGGAGGCAGTTCTTTCTTGCACTTGTTGCATTGAACCTGCAGAATGTGACGAAGCTAGAGCCAAGTAGAAAGATCGTTTACCACTCGTGACGCTGACTTCTCCTACCCCTCCCCACCTTCGAAAAATCGCCGAATTTGCCCTTAGGCGGCACAGGGGGCGATAAACTGATGCCATATCAAAGTATATACAAGCCTACCTGCTTCGGTGACGTCTGAAGTGGAGGTCTCGCGCCGTCTGCCTGGAAGTAAAAACCCCCTTATGCCACAGTGCCATGAAACTATGAAATAATGCATCTTATGCTTAGAACTCGTTTTACTGTCTTCTGGCTATCAAGCTGGCAATACTATTAGGCTGGCCCCAAATTTTGATACTTCTGAGAGTAAGCTTTCTTATTGCTTACACAGGTATCAGACTAAGCCGTTGGGGGAACATTGAGCAAAATACGACCTCCCTCTCATAATTTCCTCCTCTGGTTTAGCCCTCCTCCCCATCTCCCACCGTACCTAACACCTTCTCAACTCACCCAACTCCTCATCGTACCACTTTTCCAGAGTTTTTCCAGAAGTTCTCCGTTTTTCCCCAAGAAACTGCCATGTTGGTTGGGAAAAACGGAGAACTGGGGAATGGGGGGTTTGGGTAATCTTGCGTGAAATGGGAAGATCGGAAACATTTTCACCAAAGGCCAATACCAGCCTCCTTCTGGCGAGAAGAAAAGAAGAACGCACAAGGCAACAATCCTTGCATTTTGGTGCGTGATCTACGTCATAGTATGGTGTTCCAGCCGGTATATCCTTATTGCATTTCTGGCAGGGTACCTAAAAGCAGTTATTACAAGTCATCTAGATAAATCAGTGATTATGTCTTTAGTTGCGGAAAGTTCTGTCACATTTTTTTGAATTATGCTTTGCTTTCTTTTTTTCTTTTTTTGGCGCGAACGCAAGTATGGCACATCATCTCAGTTCTTGACTTCGACTCAGCTTATGGAGGTTTTCTCGTCCACATAACGATTGAGTACGGGAGGCAACTTGCAGTTCAGAAGGGGCAATAAGTGGGCTACACCAGTGCAAGGGAAAAGCCATCCAGCTCTACCGCAAGTACGGCTCGAACTTTTGGACGGAGTGCGCTGCACTATCATGATGAGGGCGGGCTGTGCGGACAAATTTTTCCCTCTGATCGACGGTACGCTTTAGATCTCGTAGCTGCTTTGCGTACGCATTGACCGAGGAAGCAGCTTCTTCATTCAGCAGTTTCTCCGACCCACAGTTCCCTCAAGCATGACGCTGCAGGTAAACTAAACCTTCGCTACGTCATCAGAGGTACAAGTTACCGTCGTGGGAAGGTTGCCCGATGATTGAGGGCATTCCTCATTCAGCTCCATCACTTTGGCATCTGCAGGTAACATATTGCCGTCAAGGTGGTGGAAGAAATAGCTTGAGGACGCGTTAGGAGGGGTTGGTGCCGATGGTAGCGGATAAAATCCTTGTCAATATTGTAAAAGAAGAGCAGGAGTCAAGCGAGTGGTACACAACAAAAGAACCACTCCTGATGTATAAGTGCTTAACATTTACCGGTTACCCCTCTTGGTCTTACCCCATGAGCAAGTTTTTAAGTTCGAAAAAGTGTGGCAGAAACTTTTCCGCCATCCTAATACATAAAAAGCTCTTAGTCAGATGTGGTAGAATTCAGAGAGTAGTCCACGCTGATCTTATGAGTCGAGTCAGGTCTACTGCTGCGCTTCCCTCATTGGTACGTAACTTGCTTCAGAATGGTGATGCAGGAGATGTGCGACAGAAAGGAAAACACAACTGCTGACTGTCTCCGCCTGTACGACCAACGTGGACAGTGGCGCCAAGCAATTCCGGGTTAAACCTTGATTACACTTACCGGTCCTGATGCAGTTTTTGGAACTGGTTTACGTGCATCGTCCTGAAACGTCCAATTGCATACAAAAAATCACAAATTTGTTCCTCACGTCTCTTTTTTCTGTATCATAAAAATCATTCACCAAACAGATTGTATAGCACCAAGAGAACGCATCTCAATTGAAAACCCTAACCATTCTTTCCGTGATAAGGATTCTGAATTCATTACCACTCCATAGAGGCCACATGAAAGTTGGTTGTGAAGGAATACAAAATCTTGGGCGGTTCTTAGATTCAAAAAAAAGGGGGAGGCGGAAGGTTTTCCACATAATAAAAACTGCTGGGAAATGCTCTCCATGGATACACCTCGCAAGTTAACGTACAGCTTGTCATTAGAGAATAAGGTATCGCCGGAAAAAAATGAAAAAAAACAAACGTACAACGCAGCACTGCTGGCATTTTGGAGCGTGGTCAACTTCGTAGAACGGCGTTCCGGCACCTATCTCCTTCTTGCACTTCTGACAAGCTACCTGAAACCCAATCCCACTTTGATGACGGAAGATGTGAAACAGTCGTTAACAGTGAACACATCCACAGTTCTCAGTTCATCATCCAATAAGTCACGAAGACAAACCTTAAAGGGCGTTGGCTACGATAAATCCCAAGAAAGTAGGATTGGTACTCCTGGCAGGACAGGAACTTCCAGCTGACCCCAACGTCAGGCGTTGGCATAAGCGCCTTTTCCAATGAAGGTACCACTTACAAGGCCCTATGCAAGCTACACACATACCGGACACGACGCGCACCGCCCGCTTGCAACGGACGACTCACTGTGCGGTATTGCCTCATTTGCCAAGACTAAATATGAAGGGATTGATATGAAGAGGCCGCGGTGCTGCATGGGTACTCGTTGTCAAGGGTACATAAACAGCTGCTGCACCTACCGTCGCGGTTATTGGCAAGATGCCTATGGGAGACTCGTCCAAAATTGCTTTCTGAGTCTGTAAGAAAGAAGACTTTCTTCCGCAAGTTTTTGACCGTTTCACTTTGTTGTTTCGCCTATCTTCCCACTATATAGCATTCTAAACGTTATATAGCGTCTAGCAATTTAGGCCGAGTACCAAATTATCGTGCCAACCGCCTTTAAAAGCAACGGGCATAGTAAATCCACAAGGCGTGTAGGATAAATATGCCTAGCAGGACAGCATTTGGCGCCATGAGCAGGCGCTCCAAGGCGCCTTTCGCAACGAATATACAATCAAAGCGCCCTACGAAGCTGCAACATAGCGAGTCGGACGCCCACCGCAACCGCCCGCCCACAAGTGGCCGGACAGTCACGTCGACGCTGTACTTTATCGTTCCATTTATGAAGTCGAACTGATATGAAGCATTGCTACAAGGATATATGAATACAAGTTTGCAGCCGTGTCTACCACAAAGGTTGTTGACACTGCGCCAACGGGAAACTGTTGTCCGTCCAATGCCGTGCAGAACAAATATTTTTTCGCCTATTTTTGGCCGTTTAACTCCAAGAACTCTGGTTAGTTTGAGTCCGGAGTGTTGGACACTCATTCTAACCCACTTACCATACCAGAAACCGATGAAGGTAACCGCAAGCGAAGCGGTTCGATCGAGAACCAGTTATTGGCTTTCTAGGTGGAAGGCTCATGCTGGTAAACCGGCTAAAACGGACGAGCGGGAGTTTCCACTTAATACTCCTGGCGCGCGCCAGCCTATTTCACCAGTGGCTGTCCCATAGTTTCCAACCCGATGCCGCACCGAAATGTTTGTGTGCAAGAACGCTTCCTCCCGTTACACTATGGGCTACACTTACCGGTCTCGACGCAGTCTTGGGGGCTGTTCTAGTGCCGTTGTTCTGAAAGCAAAATCTTATAAAACAAAGCTACTCAAATTGCATTGGATATATCCACAGGGCTAGGTAGGGAGGTCCTGGCAAGAGACAGAAACTTGATAGCATTTCCTAGCTAGTTGCCTCATCATACTTCAGCACTTCAGCACTGCGTCAATTACGTCCTGGTGCAACTGACACTACGTCACCGTGACGTGAAACTCCTGCCTCACACCTATTCTTACATATTCTTTACACAAAAGAGTGATGATCTGGAATACAAAGAAATGGCGCTTCTATGCGAGACCTACAGAAGGCAGCCGTCAAAGACTACAATTTTAATCAGGTTCGGTTCTCCCAAAAGGCATTGGGCGCGATCGCTGTGGGTGGGCGGTTATCGCCAACGTCATTGGTGGAAGGGATACGGGGTGTAGCCAAACGCCCTATCACAGCCTTTCCACCAATAACGTCTGCAACTACCGCCCGCCTATAGCAGTCGTGCCCAGTGCTTCAAATAGCGGTAAATTTGCTTCTAAACAATCTTATCACTTCTAACTTTTGCATCACCTCTTCACGAAAGAAGATTCAATCAACTCCTTCCTGAACGTTCCAGTGCCCTTTAGAGACGTTTGTTTTCCAAGGATACACTTACGATTCCCACTTCAGACCCTGTCCAACTTCTTGTGATAAAACTTCAGAGCGTGAAAGGTGTTCTCTTTTAGCGCCTAGATCTTGAAAAACTTAAAAGGAAATAACGCACAATGCAACAATCCCTGCACTTTGGTGCATGATTTATTTTGAAGAACGGTGTTCCAGGCAATATATCCTTCTTGCAGGTTTGGCAAGGTACCTGGAAAGTTAGTTATAGGCAGAGAAAGTCTCATCAACAGCTCAAGCAATCTTTTGTACCACACTTATGAATTGTCGTGGCGTTAGCGCTACGCTGTCGTACGCCCAAAACGCTGACGTAAAGTATGAACACACACTGATAAAGACAAAACGAGACATTAAGACGTAAGAGTGAAACCAGAAAGAAATATTTGTGGGGTTCCGGGATGATGTGAGCCCTATATATAGCGCGCCTTAAACCCCAGACAATAGAGTAACGTTTTAGCGCTAGATGTCTTCCCAACTCCCGAAGTCAGACTCCTTTTTCCTTTTCCCTCCGGTCTTTCTCGAATGCCTTTGCCCTGTGAAACAGCGTCAAAAGCTGTTGAATTGTTGCGCAGAAGGAGATGCACCCTAGGTTCGCAGATCTTACATCAAAGTGTGGCAGTGTTCGGCTTGGAAGGAGCATTTTACGATTTAGCTAGTTCGATTCACCATGCTCATGAGCAGGTCACACTTTGTTGACTAGCTCCCATGAAGCCTGTCAAACTGCTAATGAAACCAGGTTTGGCCACAATAATTCACGGGTCTTCACAAGGTACCCTGAAGTAATTTTGCTAGCGGTTAGCACTAGAGTGCAATCACTAAGCCGAACTGCGTCATAAAGTGTCTGCTCACCGGAGTTGTCGAAGTCTTGGGAGCTGGTTTGGTGCCATCTTCCTAAATACGGGAGATGAGATACTGTTTAGTGGTGGCTGTTATTTAGAGAGAGCTATCGACCACTAGGCAACCCTTCAAGACTCCTAATGTGGCAGACTTCTCCAACAGGCAAGGAGCACATATACTGCATCAGGAGTCTCATCCTAAGGGTTAAGGTGTCCACATCGAAACAGATTTCACGATAATCGAATGTGCATACAGATTAGGGAATAGCCACGATAAATAGACCCTCTTCATTTGTGCGCCACATTTCTTTACCCTATTGTAAAGAGAGGCATACTGTTAAGGAGCGCATAGGAGCTATGAGGCCCCACCCATGTCCCCGCCCATAAGGTTATCGCGGAATGTGGAATGCGACCAAAAGCCGGATATGAGCCCTTTCAATGCTATCCAAATGAAAAGAACTCACGATACAACAGTCCTTGCATTTTGGCGCATTATTAACATCGTAGAATAAAGTTCCGGGCGCGATATCTCTGTTGCACTTTTTGCACGATACCTAAAAAACCCACCTTTTTGAGTCAATTTCACGGCCGGAGCTCACCATCTATTGGGCAAAACGTAGTTTGGTCGCTGCAGAAGAGGGGGGAGAAGCACACTTTTGAAGTGAAAATCTATTGATTGTCAATGCTTTCCATTTCACGCGCTGGAACGTGCCACGGAGCGGAGTTTGGAGCGAAGCCAGCACGTTCCCACCAATTGTTGAAGCGGCCAAGCGACAACAATTGCTGAAGAATGTACTGGCGCCGCGCCAAACTCGGCCCTTCACTGTAGGTGAGATTGGGGTTGGGTATACATGGAGGGGTCGTATTTTTCAAAACGTTTCCCGCAAAGTGGTGGTGCGCCCTGGTTACAGATTTGTACAGCTACAGGCGCTTCCTCAAACAGAACACCGTCTATGTCCACTGCAAATCCAAGCGGAACTTACCGGCTTCGAAGCCACTTTAGGTTTAGGTTTTTCTGCCTGAAAGAAGGTTTGTTACAAATGTGATACTAATCTCAGAATTCCATGAGCCAGCGTTCAGGTTTCGCGACGACGCGTGTATACGCGCTAGAATTGCAACCGCGCTCTAATGCTACTCTTTCGAACGACGGGTATGGTTAAGCATCATGTGGCTGCAAACGTGCGTCGACACGTCGGCGCGCGCTGTCGACGCGCGATGACGCGAAGACTGAACGCTACCTCTAGAAACACCAGCTATGTGTTGCAAAAGCTCTTAACAAACAGTGAGAACACATTTCACTATGATCGTACAGACAGAAAAACTACTTCACTGGAGAACCCCGTGTATTACGCTTCCAAACGGAAAACGCATCAACGAAGAAAGCACGACGACTCCTTATCTCCGCCTATCAGGTTATCGTGAAATATGTCTTTACCCGGAGAGACCGTCATTCATACACAACGGAATATTGAAGTAGGACTGCGCATTAGAATAACCAACCTTGCAGCAGTCTTTGCACCTTGGAGCGTTGTCAATGTCATAGAATGGCGCTCCAGCAGGCAATTCCCTATTGCATTTTTTGCATTGCACCTGAATGGAACTTCGTTCATTTTCTAGTGAAAGTTTCACTAGACAAATGGGTTGCTCGGGAATGTATAGTCTTGTTCACTGCGGATGCTGGAGCGTGTATAGGGGGAGGGGCAAAAAAAAGACCGCTTTGACCGAGCACATATCAGCAAAATTTCGCAGCCCAGACAGAGGACGTGGATACGAGTACCAGGGCGGAAGATACCCAAGATGTTCCTCGATAAGCAGGAGCTGGCTCTCGCCCATCACCTTCATGTACACCAAAATATGAAGTCATCTCCAGTCGCAGCCTGACTGGAGAAGACCTTTGGAATTCATGTCACCTCCAAACAGCTGCGAAACTTCTAGTATGGAGTCACCCATAAATAGCTACCTGGAGAGCAGTACTCTCGATCTGGAAGACCTCCATCATCGAGCAGCTCCGTCAACGTCGCTAGGACATCATCTTCACCTCAGTCGCCAAGGCGCCAGTTGATGGTGGGGACCGGACGTACCTGGAATGGAGAGACCGATATTTTCTTCGTGGGCCCCGGACTGAAGGTGAGCGCTGGCGGTTACATCGAGCAAAGAAGAATATCCTCTCCACATGTCGTCGCCCGTACCTTCTTGGAAACTGTACTGCTACAGGATTGGGTGACACCACATGGAATCAAAGGGCGTTGGGAAAACTCTTGCCTACTTGGAATGGAAGGGCGTTGAGTACCTGAAGAAGGTGGAATATCTAAGCAGGTCACCTGACCTAAACCCCCTCAATTACCTGGTTCGGGCGGAGTTCAATAGGGTG